AGAAAGGTCTCTCAGCCAAGAGGAGCCTCGAGGCCTCATTGACTCACTGCCTGGGTGGCCCTCGCAGGCGAATTGCTCGGCCTTCTGGTATGGGAAGGATGCAGGTCTTAAGCAACTGAGTGGTTCCTCCATTCGGAGGAGTAGGCAATGCCTGGCTTTACCCTCCCTACAGCTTCTGGACACTTGTGTAGCTAAGGACCCCTCTCCCACCAGCCCAGCTTGGGCTGGGAGGGGGAGCAGAGGGCAGGGCCACAGTAGCCCCAGAATAGCCTGCAGCTTTTGGGGGCACTGGTGAAGAATAACATCTCCCCTTGCAACTCCAGGAGGATTTTCTAGCTAATAGATGGAAGCTGTCCTGACTGGTACTTGGCCAGGTCTCCTGCCCTGACCATGCAAGGAGAGGAATGGCAATCTGTGAAGCCTTGTGAGTTCCTGGCCCCTCTCAAGGACGGGGCTCAATCTCTGGATCAGGCTTAGCATTAGGCAGCTCCAGCCCCTGCAGCATTCACCATTAGCATTGGTGCTCTCAACCCTTCTTTGCCTGCTGGAGCCCCTCAGAGGTTGATGAGACATGGTTGAGATGCCAGATAGCGGCATCTCCTGCTTAGCAAGATGCCTCCTGCAGACAGCCCTAAGTCCCAGAAGTGAAGCGTGATGGACACCTCTCCCATCACATCCAGTGTGGTGGTCACTGATGCGCTGAGGGATCATCTAGGCGATTGAGGAGGTAGGATGCTGCAACACCTACGATGCTTCCTGGGGCATGAGAAGCTTGGGCTCGTTTTCCATGCCACGCTGCTGACTTTCTGTGCCATCCCTTGGCCAGGAAATAGAGGCCTAAAAGGGCTATCTGTACCATGGGGATTATAGCACTTCTCTATCTTGTCAGAGTGTCAGGGAGGTAGATAAATATATTAGCCACGATGAGGCACGGGGCCATAGAAACACCTAAGATAAGCGATATCTTGCAATCACCCCCTCGAGCGGCCGGTGCTGTCGTGGCTCTTCCAGGAACTTGTGCCTCTGCGGCTGGGACTCGCATGCAACGCTTCGCAGCCCTGCATGACTTGCGTGGATCTGCAGCCCCCCCGGGCACGATGATAAAAGCCCAGGTGTTCCTCTGTGGCAGCGCCGCGTTCGGGAACTCATGCCAGGCACTGCAGGAAGTCCCTTTGATCCCCTGCGGGAATGTGTTTTTCAAGTGCGCCGCATGCAGTGACCCCTGCCACGCCCCACGAGGGGGAGATAACACATCAGAGCCTGCGCACATAGCTGCGATATCAGTGTTTTATGGAGGTCTGATTGCTGCCAACTGTGCAGCCAGCTTCAGGGGGGTGGACTTCAAAAGAAGTGCGTTTTACCTTGTCCCGCCTTGAGTAAAGAAGCCTGAGCCCAGTGTGCCGTGAGTGTGTCTGTCTGCAAAACCAGCGTTCAAAAAGGTCCGTTTCTGGTGCCTCAATCCTAATGTGGGTGTAGTTTGCTCTGCTCTCTTTTCCGATAGGAGAGGGCAAGGTATTACGACCAAAATGTCCATTTTCCTTCTAAGCTGCTTGAGGGCGATTTAATCTGGCAGTGGAAGAAGGTGTGTGTTAAATGCAAACAGCATCTTCCGGATTTGGTGGTGACATCTGCTATCGTTTTGGGTTTGTCATTGCAGGGGTTGGTGTTATCTGCAATCTTTACATCTCTGCCGAGGCATCTCGATCCTGATTACCTGTTGTATCCCGTGCTAGTCTGTTCCAGTCGTCTGGTCCGATCTGTTGTTCCTGTCTTGGTCACGCTCCACTGCCAGTTGTCTTTAATGCAAGGGCATAGACTGGGTCGGAAAGCCTCTGATAACATCGAGGGCAGAGCCCAGGCCTGCCGCGCAAACGACTCTGGCATCCACTCCACCCTCCAGGCCACTTGTACACGGCACGCTTGCCGCAGCAGTGCTCGCCGGCACACTGCACTGCTGTGGCTGAGCTGCCTTTTCAATTGCATTTGTGCTCATTAGCTGTGGTAATAGGCCCTGTCACTTGTTCTGTTCCCTTGTGGACGTGGTTTCAGAGAGAGCCCAGGCAGAAAGCATCGTCAGAGCACACCGTAGATGCGGCCCAATACGCCGGCAGGGCCCTGTATGTGAGGCAGCAGCTCTCCTTCCTCTACTTGCATTGTTGTGTGGAGGTCCCAAAGGCCTTCGGGAGCTCTGCCGCACAGGCCTCGCTGCACATGTGCGCAACTCCTGCAAGATGAGGATGTGCTTGGAGCTGCAGGTGGGGAGGAGGGGTGGGACGGCTTTCTGACCGCACTGCACATGTTGCCCAGCAGCGCGTGGGTTAACAGGCTGAGGTCCGGGGGAAAGGAGGAGAAGGGATTTTTGACCTCTTCCACTCCCCCCTGCCGCTCTCCTTGGCTGCTGCTATTTCATCCAGGCAGTCGGGAGGCTGCGTATTGGCCCTGGGGGGGTTGAGCTGGGTAACACCACAACATCAGCAGAACATCTGGAAGCTCTTAAAGGGTTTTATTTTTTAGCACATTTGCAAGAGCTAGGGAGACTCCTGCACGGGGTTTTGCAGATGTCTGGGAGCTGTGCTCTTTTTTTCCCTCACTCCCAGACTCCTGTGCCCAATGTGCGGGCAAACCACCTACCGTCTACTTACAGTTCGACACTGCTCATGTTTCAGGGGACCAGGATGCAGGCAGAAAGTGAGCAGAGGTGCGAATGGTGCCGTATGGTGTATGAGTTGTGACCGTAGACCTCTTCCTCTCCTTCCCTACGCTGCCAGCTGCCATCAGAGCAGGACAGGGAAGCCGAGCAGGGTGTACTCTAGGATATCTGCTCATGATCAAATGCTTTGATTCATTTTATTGTCACAAAACCAGAATTGGAGAACAATCGGATTCCCCCAAAGCAAGGAAAAAGCCTCCAAAAGCCAAAAGGAGGTTGGGTGTGTTCTGGATGAAGGTTGGATGCCTTCAGCAAGTTAGCCTCCAAAATGCTGCTGTTGCTCCCGTCCGCGGGGGAGAGCTTTTTTTGCAATGGGGAGGGCTCATTCCTGTGCTGCCCAGCACTTGCCACCTCGCTGTTCTCCTTCTCCTCGCTCAACACCCACGGCAGCTTTGAGAAATCAAAGCCAACCCCCTCCCCCCCGCACCCCCCAGCAGCTGTAGGGTCCTCCCAGTCTCAGCTGAGGATACAGGCGATGGAAATGCAATTTTGCATTGGTGGAAATTAGCTTTGGTGCAAGACAGGCAGGTTTCTCCACTCTTGAAGGTATAGGGTGATCAGTCAGGACACCTGGGCCCCTTCAGGCCTCAGCCACAGAGGCATTATTCCCTAACGTGGAGCTGAGTCTGCCGAGACTTGTTTTTGCCTTTATCCTAAAGGTGCCTCAGTTCTTCCCTTTGCAGAATATGGAGATCACCAGATTTCCCAGGGGCTTTTTTAGGGATGCTTAATCAGGAACTTGTACATTGCTTGGAGTTTCTTGTAAGAAAAGATCTGTTTATATATGTCTATGTCTGCTTGTGTGTGTGTGTGCACATTCATGTCTGTGTATGATATATGTAAAATGTATAATCAATATAAATACTGAAAACTAGCATGAAATGCTCCATCCTCCTGTGTGTCCCATCACGGCCCTTTATCATGTAGAAATGGCATTTTGATTTCTTCCTGTCGCCGGCTCCCAGCTGCGCGAGGCATTCGCTAACCCTCCAGCACGCTCAGTCCAGATCCGCTCCGTTCAGCAGAGGTTCAGATGACAGAATTGGTGCCTTAATCTCACGTGAAGACAAGGATGGAGGCCTCGGCTAGGAACAGCTGTCATTTCTCCACTCTCTCTCTCTCTCGAGCCAAGTACCACTGCTTTCTTCGTGGACGATTTCAGCCCACTCTCCTCTCTGGTCTTTTGACTTATAGCCCCTTGTGTTGGCTGGCTCAGTATGGGACCGTAAGTCATTATCGACCGCCAGCTGTTTGGCAGCCTGCTTGAAATGAGCTAGTCGACTTCAGCCCGATTCCTAGTGCGGAGAAGTCCGTCTTTGCTGGCAGGTCCCTTAATGATGTCACCTCCGCTGGAGGGATGCAAAGGGCTGAGCTCCTTTCTCCCCCCCGTGTGTGGTCAGGACGGGGTGCGTTGCCTGCGTGGGGTGTGGGAAACCTTGCACAACTGCTGCTGATGTGCCAAGTCCCCAGAACCAGCCATCTGGTGCTGCATTGGCGTTTGCTTGCATTGCAACAAGGCCTAAGGTTTCTGGTGAGAATTGTGGCCAGCTGTGCAGATGTATTGGAAGATGGGGTTGCATCCATGAAGAGCTGGTGGTCTTAATGAGCAAGGCTGAAGGGCGGTGTGGAGGGAAGGGAGGCACGTGGAGCCCAACCAGTGCAGTTTGGGGATGTTTAGTTTGATTCTTGCTGTTCATTGCAACGGTTTTTGTGCCAGCCACATTGGAGCCCCTTGTGTGCTTGGTTCTGTGCTTTCGAATAGTGACAGTCCCTGTTGCAAAGAGCTTCCAGCCTCAAAAGCACCAGGTTTTTCTCCCTAAGCTGTCACCTGGCAGCTCTCCAAACCTCCTCATGCCCTGTGCTAGCTCTGCCACTCGCTCCTCCACAACTGGTCACTCTGACCAGCTCAGAATAGCACGACTTGGTGTCTGAAGGTACCCGCTGCCTCCTTCCAGGGAGAGGAGGGCTTGGCGAGGGGGGTGACTCCTGGACTTTGCTTGGGACTTACCCAGGGCCCCATTTGCAAGGTGCTGAGCCTCCCATTAGAGGTACTGAGAGCCCTTGACCTCCTCTGAATTCAGCCCAACTTGCACACAACCCCTCCCTCTTCCACCTTGCAGCACTGGGTCCCAAACTTTGCAGGGACTTCTGCTGGTCTCTCCAACGCCATGCTTTGTGTTGGTCTCTGAGCTGCAGCTGAGGTTCAACTTAGTACCGAAAAGACACAGCTTTTCCTTTGGTGCAATTAATGGTTCAATGATCAGTGTTAACACCTTGTTTTTGCCTGCAGGTGCCACGATGAGGGAGCAGCCTGGGATGGAAACGGGAGACCCAGAGCGGCCACGGGGGCATAGGCCGTGCCTGGCATGCTGGGAAAGCCTTCGGAGGGCTGAGCAAGACCAATGAGGATGCAGGAGCTGCAGGGAAAGGAGCTCCTCCAGAAATCAAAGTGGATTTGAGGCCGCGAGGCGATCTCGCTGCCTGCTTCTGCCACGGGAAGACTTGTAGCCCGTCCATGGGGCCATGACTGATTTATGTGCCCTGCTTTGCCAGGAATTTTTTCTTTCCTCCGTTGTCTCCTGGCTCCAACTTCACCCTGTGGATTCCCACACAGGGCTCAGTGGGACTGAATTAGCCGCCCCGGAGGCACTCACTGATGGGCCTTTAGACTTGGAAATTCTCCTTTTGGCCGGGTGACTTTCAGGCCGGATGCTTTGGGGCAAATAGCTAAGTGGTTTGGGGTCATGCAGTAGCTTTTTTTTTTTAATTATTATTGTTATTATCCTGCTCTCTAAAGGGCCAAGTGTTTTCCTGTTTCCATGGAGGCGGCAGTGGAATTTTTTCCTATGTCTTCGAGTCTCAGTCCTGGAAGTGTGGATGGTTTGACCAAGCGAGGAAAGCATGTTGCTCACACACTGCAGCCTCTTGTAGTGGGAATAATAAAATAAAAGCAAAGCTGGGCGATTTTTTTTTTTTTCTTTCTTTTCTTTTTTGCGGAGCAGAGGGACAGGCGTGAGCCATGAAGATCAGACTGGGGTTCGAACAGTTTGGTGACGTGGTCTCGCGAGTCTGATGCTGCGAGGTGAACAGCTGTTGGAGGTCCCAGATGCTTCGGTGCTTCAAGCCCAGTTGAAGGCAGGAGAGGCCATCGATCCCAGGAGGATCCACTGCGTTTCTATAGGTGCTGCTCCATTTGGAGAATATATGAAGCTTGGTGTGTGGCCAGGTGAAGCAATGCCTTGGACGCACAACCACAGCTGCAGGGACATCAAGGTGACAGTGATGGCCTTACCCACAGAAACGCTTCTTAATAAACCCATTTCCTGCCTTGTTCATCCCTGGTCTTTTCCATCTGCCTTATCTTGGAGACCTC